GGTCGTGTATACTGCGCCAGTGTGCAGCCAGTTCTGCTCTATGGTTGCGACACACTAAATTTGCTCGTGGAAGATATTCGTCGTCTTGAAGTATTCGACTGCAGATGGTTACGTATTTTAGCTCGGTTTGGATGGAGCGAGCTTGTATGCAACTCTGAGGCGAGGCGTCACGTATTTGGTAATGATTCGATGGAGAATTCGTTGTTCCATCGAATTCAGATTAGTCGGCTTCGCTGGTTAGGACATGTATTGCGCATGCCCAGCCATCGTCTGCTGCACCGCGCCTTATTCGCAGTTACGGCTCCAGGTTGGAAGAAACCGCGNAGAATCGGTGTCTCCCGTCTTCCAGGTTAGGGTCCGAAAGACTCTACAACTGGCTGATTGAAGACATTAAAGGATATGGCGACTGACCGACAGCAGTGGCGCTCTTGTTGTCATTTCTTAACAAGGCAGAATGCTTGAAAAGGTATGCATGGACACTTAGATTGTGTACTCTGTGTGTTGAACATAGAGGTTCTTTTTCTTTGCCTCCCTCCAAGTAGGCCCAACCCCTCTCCACCTTGTGGTTTATCACTTGATTTGTGCAGCGATCAGTGAAGCTGGCTTCACTGTATCTCGCTGTACGTTGATGATGATGATACTTCAGTGTTTTGGAAGAGGAAGTCGAAAATCCCATTGAGAACAACCATACGTGTGCTGCAAAACTATCGCCGTGATTGGAAGATTGTACAAGTCTCCGTTTTAAGGACAACACAACTTGGACCTATCTACTGCCTACCCAGATCGCACTAGACGATCAGTTATACGATGCTAAAACAGACAGATTTGGTTTTGTGTCCAGTTGAGTAGCAGTGATCACACGACTCGCTCAACCAAGTGTAAACAGACGATTGAGAGAGTGCATTCGTGAACCAGTGCAGAGCGGAACGAAAACCGCAACTGAGTGTTGTGATATCAATCTATGGAATGTTTGCACAATCTCCATTTTCCACTGCGCTGCGTACACGCGTGATGAGTGCAAATCCTGAACCACACACAAAGTAAGGGGATGAAACTCATCGACTTCTGTTCCTTGAAAAGTTAGAACATGCAGTAACAGTGAATTATACTCGGATAAGAAAAATGTGAGTTCTATTATGTGTTGTGTTCGGCCTTATACCGAAGAGGCCACGCAGCAATTGGAACAACTCACCGAAGGATCTCCATCAACCGACAGGCCCCAACGAGTGAGGACATTTTCGATTGCCTGGGTGAAACTACGGGGGAGAAGGTAAAACAAGAGATATAGAATATCAAGCTCGGATTAGCTCATTCGGTTGTTCAGAGGCACCAGGCACTCTCATGAGTCAGTAAGAATTGATATGTTATAAAATAAGGAGCGTGGGTTAATCCATAAGGATTCTGTGATGACGGATACGAGATTCAATGGGTATATGACTGGTATTAAATCACTGGCTATTGAGCCAAGAACAATAAGCGCATCTGCAGGAGTTGGAAAAGTTTATTTGAGCCCTCATAAGAGAAAGCGGACAAACTGGTTTCGGGACATCTTGATCCTGATGGGCGTCGATTTGACTGAGTGGTATGATGTGTAAAGCGTTCTAGGCGACACATCCAACTGCCTAGAAACCGATCTCCTCCCTTCCTACTGTTCAACACGTTAGATATACATATAAAAATATCCGTTGGGTGAGTCTTCAGATATTATCAAAAGTCATTTAGGTGATGAACCGTGAACGAGTGTTAATTGGTTTACCGAATAAACGATCTTGGGCGATCAGTGACTATGTCTGGCTGTTTTTGGTCTGCTAAGCAATCTCCCTGTATTGAATGCATTATGAAATGTGGGAATCGGCTCCATCACTAAATACGGTCATCGTGATCACATTGTCGCACGTCAGATACTGCGAAGGCTAAAGTTGACTTTTCGAATGGTATGGCCGAACGGTATTGAGGTACTATCCCCAAGTCAAGTCAAGTATTTGCTTTACGCACCCAGATTTATCATTTACGACACCCAATCATCCTCCCATACAACGAAATTGCTCACAAATATAGTAAATAAACCTCGACATAGCTTCAGTATAGAAGTGCTTGAAGACACTTGATAACTGATTGATTAAAAATAAATAACTCGTCGCATGCACTAGAAACGTACTACTACTCATCACAGACAACGGTGAAAAATCCTGGCAGGGATGTCTCAATCTTGTCAAAGACCGTAAGCTGCATGTATTCATCGAATCCAATAGGACTCCAACCCGGGAATAAAGGATTTTTAATGAAACACGATATACAATTAAGTTGCTCGGGCGAATTATGCAGACTATGCTCCATATGGAGACATCATGATAAAGCGCTCATTTGTCTCAGTGAAAGAACGTACCAAACACTGATGGGATCCCAGTGTATAACTTATTAGAAAATTCTCGGGTACAGAGCAAAGCATGGATCTTTTTACATATATTTATTACAGATGAAACAATCAGGTATATTTGAAACAACTCTAACAGGTTTTGGTATACAGTTGCTCCTAGTGGCTCATTTATGCAGATCGAAGTACCGTTCTGAACTACACGAGGTCCCAATGAGAAAGCCGTGGTACTGAACCAGGAATCAGTGGTGAGGTTCGGACCTATGACCGCACATACCAGTGCATACCAATGCCGATAACTGGATCCGCCTGACCAGTACCGGATGTGTTTAACGGTTAACGATGCCCAATCATCTACCTCTCTAAATCGGGATTGTACCATGATGATGGTGAGCATTGCTGTCGATCGGTCCAATACTGCGTTTGCTCTATCCAAATGGCGCATTTGGAGGCTAGACACTCCAAGGCTTCAACATAACTAAAAGAAGGTACTCGTGATTACGAGATTTGCTACAATCGGAGAACTGAACGAAGTAAGTCATTTAGTCAATCTGTTATACATAAAAAATCAAGCGGGAAACACTAGAAGAAATCGTTGAGAGGGCCCAGCGGTCAGTTTTAGGAAGACTGAAGGGGATCCGTACTTCTCCAGCAATACAACTTCACCATGTATAAACTCACGTCATTAATACTGGGGTACGGTGTCGGAACATCAATATCATTAATTAAACCGCTCGAGATTCCTATTTGGACCCCACTGAAAGCGTTTCGGGTTTCGAGGCTAAACGCGAGCCTATGTGAACGGAGGAGACTTCCAAAAATTGATGATTAGTATCACACTGAATGAGAGGGATTCCAAAACGAGGCAATCCGAACTTCCGTTTGACTCTACCGTATGAGGATGTGTCTTTTGGTTCGCTTGTACCGATCCCATCACTACCCGTGCATTGACTCATGCCCAATCGAAACCGGATTACGATGTATGTATGTGTTTAGTGCTCATGTCTAGTACTGATACAGCTGTGTCAACGAGTTGCTATTCGAGTAATGCCACGAATCGACAATTCCGCAATGCATCGATTGTCAAGTGACTCAAGTCGCCACCAGTGGCGTCCAGCGCTCCACACAATTCCATGTTGGAACCACGCACACACACCAACCCGACCCGTAGCTATTCTAATTGATGGCAGGCAACCGTGCAACTGCGACACAAAACTACACGTTCACTACGTTCGGGTTTTACGCCGTTCACAACCCTAGGTCACCGAGAACGTTTGCCAAGCGGGAACCTTTAAAAAGAACGAAATTAAGACATCAGTAAACTTAATTGCCATTTCCAAAAACCGCAACTATCGATTTTTTGCAGTGAAATAATTCTAGTTATTCCTGCGATAAAAAACCATCAGACTGATTAAAGAAATTCGTGCGGTGAGCAAAACCCATACAGAAATTCCCAATACAAAATGAGTAGAGAGAGAGAGATCAGAGATAATCAAAACGGACTGCAGTTGCAAGTACCACCTACCTTTCCCAATGAGTCACACACGTATAATCATCGAAAGTTTCCTCCTCCCGTTTCTGGAATGGGTCGAGTGAAAAATTGTTAACAAAGAATGGACTCAAAGGATTGAAATCAGATAATTAATTTACTGGATTGTGGAAAAGACCGAAGATTGTGTAATATTGTATGTAGACCTATGCGATTCGATTAGCCTCCCAGTGGTGGTCAAGTGGATAGCGCGTTTGTTTGTTTTTTTACGGTTATTTGTGAATTCCGAAGTCTGATTCCCGATTGGTTTGATCGATTTCCATTGCTATCAATTACGATCCAAACAACTGTACAGTTGGATGTCATGTTGAATGATTGTAGCTTGGGATAAGGATGCTGGTGTAAACAAGCACACAGAACTAGAATCCAGTTATCACTAACCAAGAAAGCATTAGTTACCTAGAATTGCTCCATCTAAATCCGATTTAAAACGATTTTTTTTTATTACGCACCAGTGTGTGGTGAACAGCAGACAGGACGAACCACAAACTCACGTAGACCTGCAGTTCAGAGGTGGTGACCAGCAACCTAAGCCCCGGGACTTGGAGTGGCGAACCACGTAAAGCCCCTTAGGTTAGGCGTGGTATTGAACCGGACGACAGAAAACCTGCTTACCACAAGACAGTAAACCGACTAATGAACAGAGAGGAAAAAGTCGTTTCTATCATAAAATGTCAATTAAATAGTAGACAGTAGATTAACCTGAGCAGCAGGATTGAAGGGGCGCAAACAGTCAGACAAAAGCTTCGATCAGAAACAAATATACCTGACTACCTCTGTTTAACTCCTTGTCATCCGTTCCCAACCCTCACCCTTTACCCCTTCTTTTAACCCATAAAATTCCCTCAAAATCTTTTTCGTTACTCGCCAAAGTTCGTCGCCAAGTAGCCCAGTAAGTAGTTTACCACAAAATAAATTGCAGATTCTGAAGCCTCGACAGCCACTGAATCTGGGAGCCTTCAACGTGAGGACTTTCATGCATATAGGTCAACAAGCGTGTCTGGCGCGTACAATGGACTCTTTAGGGATTGACGTCTGTTGTGTATCCGAGAGGCGAATCCAGGATCCCAGTACTATAAACCACTTGAATGCACCGGGGTTGTCTTCGAGGCTTTTCTTCCGCGCGTCAGGTGATGACGAAGCCAGCGTGGCGTGGGCATTGTACTCAATAATAAAGCCGAAGCCGCACTACCCGATTGGATCCTCGTCAATAGTTGTTTATGTGCGATGCGGCTCCAAGGGTCCATCAGCGTCCGGAAGGGAAGCAACACCAAAAAGTATCTGTTCATTACTTCAGTGTATGCACTGACCAACTGCAGTTCTGACGCACAACAGGACGAGTTTTATGATAAATTCACCGAACTCATTCGGTTGAGTCGAAGCTCCGATATA